CAGGTATGAATGTGTTCCAGAACCTGTTGTGGGGTGAAAATATGATCGATGCACCCTCGACCAGGTCTGAAACCTTCCTGGTTTGCCCGTTTTTTGTTCTTGAGCTATGGACCCTAGGATCTTGGACACGATATTAGTCAAGCTAATTCTCCAATGGTTGTCACAATATTTCGCCTCCTTCTCTTAGACTGGGAGTGATTAATAAGAAGAAGAAGACTAAGAACAAGAATAATATTTATTCCTGAATATGCAGGCACACCCTTTTTACAGGTATGAATAAGCTACTATATAAATTACACGTATCTTTATGGCAGGTAGTCTCAATCCCCACGTATTGTCACAAAGGATACAAGTGCTGCATGTTTATATAATGAAACATCGAAGCAGAATAAGCATGCAAACATTTACAAGCTCGACAAGTGAAAGTATTGTGTTGTATTAATAAAAGAAGCCAGAATTGGTATCTGGACATTACATTTATTACCTGGAGAAAAATAAAGCTTGAAGCCAATACTTCCATTGTAAAAGTTTGTACTTTTTGCTTAGAAAAGTTCAAGAGGGAATGTATGCAAATGTTGTTTATTTATTGACCAGTGACGCATACTAGTCTAACGGCACTACCCCCGATTCTCATGCACTGCGCAGTAACTCTGTCAATCTAATCAACAATTTCCTACCTCCATCCTTCAAACCTTTGGGTGGCATACCATCACGTCCTGCTGCGTTGCATCGTTTCCGGTTCGATACAGCTTTCTCAACTCCAAAGAGAGCTGGAGGATCGACATTTACGTCCTATTCAGGTTCGCGCTGCATGCCGGGTAACTAAAGCGTTGCTGAGGGCCAGTTGAACTAACATTCTAGCCACCTGACCTGGAAGGTTATCAGCGTCCCATCCTTTTCGGTGATGGTTTCACTTACCATCGTCTTCTTGCCATTATCCCCAATAAAACTAAATAGTTCCCAAGTTTCGCCCACGGCTGATGCCTTTCCAGGTTAGGTTCGATTAGGTCTTGTGAACTACTAGAAGCGGGCGGGCGGTTGCCACTCTTCAGCTCCCCACAACGTGGAACGCTAGTTCTTCTTAAGGTACCTGGAAGTGAAAAAGATTTGTAGAACCCCAGAGCTCATGAGAGATTTGCTTGGGGCCTGTCACTGTTCTGAGGTTTGGTTCTAACACCGGATAGAGCGAACCCATTCCACCGGCACCAGGAGACTGTTGGACATGCCAAAGTGTTATTTTTGGGGCTGACGTTTACTAACCCCCTACGCTTCCCATTGGGAAAGCAGCATCAGCGTGGTACTATTGGTCATTCAAGGGGAACACCCTATTGCTGTCACACCCCATCCAGCTAGCAGCAGAACAATTTTGCCCTCCGACCCTCATCATAATGTAGTAATTTACATTACAATGGTAACTGCTTTTCGTTTTATCAATAATCATGCAGGAACTTAGAGGAACACGTGTTCCATGGGCATAGCTCGTTGCGTTATTGTGATATTCAAGCCCAACCACCACACAATGTAGTAGCTAACGGTGAAGTGTTAGTCGTTAGGATGATTAGTATGTTGAGAATAGTCCCTTCAGGCAACCAGACAATCTATACAATGAGTCTGTTGAATTTACGCCATTTTTCCAAGTAAAACAAGGAAATTAGAGGAAGAACTGGGAGCTTGGAACCACCAAAAAATACAAATGGTTGGGAATCTGAATTTTTGTAATTTGGTACACGCAAAAATGTAGTGAATGATTTCTTCCAACCTGGATAGTCCAGCTGGCAACAAACAAGCTACTTATGTTACCTTAGACTTCGAAACGTAACACTTTATATCAAGTAACATAATCTTCAAAGACAGTTTCATCGGAATCGAAATAGCACATAAACTGGATTATATCAACATACGCGGTAAGTGATGTATTCTTTATCGATAGTCAAGTTCAAGAAAACCATAACTGTGCTAAAAAGCCAACCACAATTTTTTTACCCTGCTGAACCTATATTTGCATAAACTTTTTTACGAATAACATAGGAAAAGAAATCCCAGTTACGTGCGAGATTATAAGAGAAACTGTACCATGCTCGCAGCAAAAAGCAAATACTGAATTCTTGAACGCAACGGATTTCAGAAACACATGTAACTATAAACTAAGGAAACCTACAGGCTTCTAGTTCAAATTCTGTAGAAACCCACGATTTCAACTCCTCTTATTCATGCATTTTAGCCGCTGATTGATATCATTTATTTGTTTAGTTGATCCTACCAAACCAGAAATCTCTGTTGAAAAATGACGGGTCAGTGAACAACGAAATCGCTTCTCGAGTAGTAAAAAAAAACCCGCTAACCCTTCGCCGAGTAACACTATTTATGCCGTCGCTACGATATCCAGCTGCCCACTAAAAGCTGAGTTTGTTACGCTGTAGTTAACTCTGTTCTACTGCACAGGTGCGCAACAGCCATTGAAGACAGAGTAGGTGAGACGGCTTCAGGTGTTCGACCACTATTGCCTTCTTAGAGCAGGCCATGCCTCTTGGTACTGCCCCGGTTTTGATGCAGCAGTCGGGTGTAGAGTTTTAGAGAGTAGAGGGAGGTCAGTTGATGAAATGTAGAGTTATCGGGTGAGGTCCGCGTGACACCGCAAGCCAGTGGTTGGAGGCTCTAGGTGACATGGCTGAGAAGTGATGTCAGTGGCGCAGATATATCTATACATTACCCTCATTTTAGTCGTCATACTGAACTTCATTTGTCTCACCCCTTCTGGTTCTTTGTTCCTTATTTTTCTATTTCACCTCTGCACCTACCTTGACGTGCTGATATGAGGTATGATAACCAGTAGACAGAAACACCAGGTCCCATATCGATGATGACCGACTGATATTTCTTAGACAATTAATTGTAATGAAATATTTTCCAGTGTTTGACTAGGCATATACGACCGCGGACAGGAAATGTGCTTGTGCACTTAACTGGTTGGCTTGAATCCGACAAATATTTCCTATCTAAGAACACAGTTAAATTGGTTTTCAAATACTTTGGCGCACTCAATTTGGAGTCAAATGGAGATGCAGAGAAAGGTCAGCAATGGAAACTGTGTATCAAAGTATAGGCTTGATAATGAGACGCACTAAACAACCACTATCATCATCAACATAGGACCAGGGATTACTGCGTAACGGTCCGAGTTGCCACAGCTCATATCGCTACATCAAGTAAAAAGGCAGTGAGGCGCAAGGTGAAGATAAGAGAATGCCGTCGAAAGAAATATAAAGTAACAAAAGAGAGAAAGGAGGAATGAGAAAATGGTGAGATTCGGTACGGCGTCGTTAAGATGAGGATAATGTGTGTATACATCTGTGCCAGTGATATCGGTTCTGAGCCATTATACGTCACCTAGTCTCCAACCACTGGTTCCTCTTGTTCCGTGGACCCCGATCGGTTAGTCTACATTGCCCCACATGGTTCAAACCAACAGTTTATTCAGATTTTAGACTGCATCTACGTCCCTACTGACGTTTTCTCGGTTCAAATTCCCTTAGATCTTACATGAGTGCTGACGAATAGCGTCACTGTGATGATGACACGACAGTTAGTAGGAAATACATTATTGGACCGACTTGAGAAAACTAGATTATAGGTACCGTATAAGTATGGTTACTAATTTGACGACGACAGGCATGATTGCAAAAAGTGATTAATAATACAAATTTGATTCTAACGCAAAACGAATCCACGCTACTGGTAATTAAGTGCAGACTTTCGAGGAAAGATGCCAAAAAAACACTTCTCTGAAGCTAGTTAGCAATTTGCAGGGTATGACCAGGCGATAGTATCGTATCATGGATTCACATGGTAGTAGGGCAAAATGCTTGGTGATTAAAGTGAAATAAAATCTGGTCATTAGCCGGGTCTCATAGCTGTCGGTAGAGCGCCAGGTCGAAAACCAGGTAGTTACTGATCCGAATCTTGCCGCGGCCCACAGTTTTCATTTCACCTTCAATCACCACCCAGGACACAAACTTAGGATTCAAGGGTTGAAAACACTACTCATCCTAACCAGTCTTTCAATATGTATCCATCTGAACCACGTTTATGAGTACGGAAATATTCCTGAAGCTGTAAGACATTTACACGTGAATAATACAACCGAAAAAACTTGTCACTAACAGTCGAACTTCCAAACTTAGAGCATTAAAGCTAAAGGATTGTGACAAGAGACACCCTTCGATAGCTTGAAATGTACTCACGCTTACTTACTTGACAAAATGTTCACGAACAAAAACGGATATTCGACAGCTGGTCACAATAAAATGTAAGTAGCTTGTAGTGACGGAACCATAATGAGTAAAAATCATTCAACAGACGCTCCCAAGATAATAGAGCTTTGATAGTTGCAGCTGCTCAAAATGTACATCAATTTTATTGGCTACAATGATGGCAAAAAATTACTAATTGCAGACAATCTAGTCAAAATGGAGTCACATGATGCATCTTCAGACTCAGTAAAATGCTAAACCTGACGCAAATTAGTATTTTCGAGCGAAATCCACTTTTCAAAATACACCCATAAAGATTCTCGGAACGCCTTTGCGAAACCAGAACTGTCTTTTACTAATTTTTTCCAAGAACCTTGGAAAATACTAAGTATATCATATTGGTTTATAAACTATTGCACAGCTGTGGCATTGACAACAACCAAGAGTGCGGTCCAACTTAGAAGGATGGGCGTTGGAGACAACCAAATACCTCAACTCAGTAATTTTCCAGGCAAGTAGTCTTAAAATGGGCACACGTGTTTTCAACCACCTAGTAGTTTTTCCGTTATTTTTTAACATGCCTTTTATATGAAGTAAACGAAGTTATCACTGCGTCAAAACTAACATCTTCGTCCATCACTAAAAGAGTCTCAATTTCCTGAAGTAATGGACTCATATGTCATCCAGAATGACACATGGCAGGAATAAAATTAGTGAGAACTAATTAAAAATTAGGATGATATGACTTACATTTTTAGAGGGGTCTGCAAATGCGGCACACTTGTACTCCTGCAAATCATGAATTGGACTGCTTGATTCGAATTGTGGTGCACCTTCTCGCGTCATTTCTGTGATTAACCAATATTGTAGCGACTGGTAGAAATTCCGACTACGTCGTTCCTGCCCATAACTTGAATTCTTCATGTAGTGATAGTCTAGATGCTTTGCAAATTCGGGCGAAAGATCACTCTGAAAACGCAGACCACACTGACCACATTGGTGACCATTATACATCGCATCTATCTCCAAGTTGTACGGGTTCTTGAAATGCTCCCAGCTATAACTTCTTAGCTCAGGAGGTTCTGTCTTTTCAGATTCTATTTTCGGCACTATACCAGCTTTAACCAGTTTTTGAAATAGTTCATGTACATCAATGTTATGCGGAGCATTTGCATTCATCGAACTTTCTTCTTTGACTTGCACAGAATTCCCAGGGCTATTTTTTGCATCCACAACAGGCTCTGGAACTGTTACACAACTAACCTGATCATTAGTGTTTGAAGTATCCATGGAACTGACAGGTGGAGGGCGCATACCGTTCCCCACAGATCTGTTAGCAAACGGAACGCGATTTCTTGGATTCACACCATCCTCAGCTAAACGTGCAAGTTCTTTGATTGGATTAAGTGGTGCCATAAACAAGTTTCGTGGTGAGCCAAACAAACCTTGACCTGCCCACTTAAGCAAACGAGGAGGTATAGGCGGTAATACATTAACATTTTTCGGTATATTGCCAATAAACTTTACTCCAACTGAATGAATACCAACATTTATGAAAGTTAGATGGGATGTTGTAGGAACCGTGTGTGGACGTCCATCAATCACAAGTTCATGACCTGGACCACCCAAATATGCAACGTAGAATCTGGGCCCAATGAGAACTCTAGTAAAACCTGTACTAGGGATTTTGAAACACCGACCATCGATAACAACAGTAGCATATTCACACCGAAACCTTACAGCATGAATCCGATCTCCTATCGCTATTAGTGGCTGTACCCTGTCCAGTAGCAGTGTAAACTGTTGACCATCAATAGTTATCCGCCTAGGTGGCTTAGGATGACTAACAAGACTAAGCATGCGAGGATCAACACCGATGTTCACCATGTCCGGGAACCCATTGATCTCAACACTCCAAACAGGTCCACGAATTGGCGGCCCCCGGCGGTGTGGTATTGCAGGTGGTCGGTAGGACAACGGAGCTATAGGTGGTCTTTCTCTTGTAAAGTCTGATACAAATGGATCTGGTGGCATACGAAGTGTTGCAAGATGTTCCTTGATAGGTGCGAAATTATTCATTTTTGAGTAACGAGGTATATTTTCTGACTCCAGAGAATCACAGCGTGGATTCATGTCTGCAGTACTGTCACTGAGATTCTCCACCATGGGTATGTCATTCGGCGTTAATCGTTCACTAGGCGGTATGCCATATCTGTGAATAGGAGTGGTAGTTGGAGGAAGACCAGAGGGTTGCTTGGGAACTGGTTTATCAACAGGTTCCTTGGGTAGGATTTCAGCGTTTTCGTTACTTGCAGCAATTGAGAGTGGGTGTTCCGATACAGCAAAACGCATATCAACATCTTTGTTTTCACGCCGTGAACAAACTTCACTATGCTTTCCAATGTAGTCCGACCAAGCTGATGATCTTGCAGGAGAAATTGGAACTGTGTTTTGGGAACGCATATCACGGTCCTCGCCACCAAATAACATAACCTTTTTCGATAGCTCACTCGACTCTGCCTGCTTACCTTGTTTCCGTGCCACAGATTCCATTTTCTGATCACCCGAACGGTCGATTAAAAACTCTTCCGAAGACGCGATAGACTCCTCAGGAGACTTCCTTTTCCTATTCAGTCGTGGGTCACGAGAGGCCGAAATAACAGTCTTAGTAGCTGGTCGCTCTATTACGGCTTCTGGTTTCACTTCAACTGTCACCGGCTCTACCTTTGTCTGGATTTTCGGAACACTGGGAAGAGACCTGAATGCAGCTTTGGCCTCAGGAGCACTAGCTAACAGTGGCCAGGCTGGGTCATGCTCTCGAACCCGAATATCCAATTCGTACATTCTAGAATTGGGAAATATATCCTTCCATGTTGTCCTCAGATTGTACAATTTTAGCCTTCCCTTCTCATCTCGTATCTAAATAAACTGTATTAGGACAAGTGATGGGTGGGACTTACCGACTGAAACGAATGTACAAAAGCATCAACGATATTGACAGTATACAGTTTTCTGTAGGGAGTACCTACGTTCTTAACTATGGAATCGATTACGTACAAGCCAAGTAACTTCAATCCTGCTGGTATCTGTAATGAAAGGTTTGTGAACTAAGATCGATGAACAACTAAAGTTTCTCACTATACTTATAACGGGACCTAATAGTATGCGTCTCACGAAGCACGACACACCGCAACTTTAGAAAAAACCGCATACGAACGCTAGATTAAGCGCTTAAGCAATTAATTATCGCTTCGCCCAAACCCAGCACCCATATGTTAAAAAAAATTCAAAACTGACAAAATAATTTATTGGTCTTTTTTTCATCTGTGCGGATGTGCACAGGACACACCGGGAAGAGGATACCACGCAACTCACCATTTGTACATGCTTGAGAGTTAGGTCCACTATACTCTGAGCAACACCCGTGACATCTTTATGATCACGAGCGAAGATAGTGAGAGCATTTATTTTGTACTTATCATTGTCCTTGAGATTTTCCAAATCCTTTTTAAAGGATGCCAAAAGATCCCCGGCTAGCGACATCCAGCCAGACCAAACGACTGCCCAGACAACGAAAACGAAACAGCAGGGATAGAGCGCGAACAATGTCAAGGATCTAAGCAAGGATTCAAACAAACGATTGCAAATACACTGATACTAGTGACAAGTACTGTATCATATGAATGAAGTCTTTTTCGATTATCCTATAGAGAAAAACATATCACCTGCCTGAAATAATCGGTTCTAAATACCTAACGAAACGTTACAGCAGCCTTTAGAAAATTGGCATAAGATCACTATAACAAATGGGGGACCGCATCACGTTACACTCAAAAACCTTCACATAAACATGGACGGTATGACTTTTTGTTTCATCCCTAGGCAGTTATACATTTTACACACTTTGTGGTACTGTAGTGTCACACACTTCTCCAGAATCAACAGCTTAGGATTCGACGAGATCTAACACTGATGCAGACCTTGATAGTTTAACTGGGCTCGTTAAGCTGAAGGCACCCGTTCAAGCATCCTCGCCATTCGGCACGCTGTCGTGTTACGTTGCACTGCTCTTATTCTACTGTCTAGCCAGTTAGCTGGAACTCATCAGTATCCTGGCATAACCATCCAAATATACTATCCCATCCGACTACGCTATCGTGTTCTACCTTGGTCTCGTATTCGTGGGCATATAACAAGTCCGAATAATTAGTGACTGGTCTTTGCGTCTGTCAAGTTCGCACCAGGACAATACCCAAATTTGTGAGCCCGACCTGATAACATATCCTGACCGAGAAAATATCATAATTTGGTGGGCGAGTTCCATTTATTAATATGCATATTGTATTCACTTCGAAAAAAATTCATACTTCCATCTACAACTCCTTTCAATTTCCATTCATATCCCGAAACTTCTCCTTATTAAGTAGACGACGAATATTATCAAACTCGTGCCATACTGGCCTGATAATGCAGAAACATGGTTTCTGTATGCCGAGGCAGATTTTCGAGAACAGGGTGTCTCAGATCCTCATTCTCCATTTCTTGCTGTCATACGGTCACTACTGCAGCAATTAAACAGATATGTTACAGCCCATACATTTAGCTCTAAAGTGATTCCTATACGTTTTTCATAGCTGCGCTACTGGGGAAAAGTGATCTCACGGATCGCCAGAGCCTAGACGAATTACTTCGTAACATTGAGCTAGGCAGCCACTTGGCCACTAAATTCCCTGCACGCATGCGAGAAGTTGCGGGCACACGAACATTCAATAATGACCTTTTCCAAGAACTATTTCTCTCAAAACTACCACAACCGGCGCTAACCGTGTTAGTGACACTTCAGTCAGTTCCACTCGATGACCTGGCAGCCTCAACAGATAAAATACTGGAGACCTCTATCAGACCCGTCTCCAAAGTATATTCTGTATGCGGTAAACCTGTGAGCCAGCATTCAGAAGTGACCAAGCTATGCAACTGTGTTAAACAGTTGCTACGATCTCGAAGCCTTAGGTTAAGTAGCACATCACAGAAACTCATCGCAGCAACTCTCATGGTTATCCAAAAACTAAACCTAAAAGTTTGGAAAACTGTAAGTGGTGCTGGTTCCACAATACCTGTCGAGACGAAGCCAGAAAATGCCGGGAAGCCATGCAGTTTCAAATGGACACAAACTGTCACGCCGGCACCTGTTCACGGCAACCGTAGCCGGTGGAAACAGCCGTTTACTCCACGTCACGGATACTAAAGCGAAAGTTTGCTACCTCATCAACACCGGCGCAGAAGTTGGCGTTCTTCCCACACCGATAAAGGAGAGTCATCCTGACCCATCCACCAATCTACAAGCGGCCAACGGCACGGTGATCGCAACATTTGGGAGACAGCGTGCCTACCTCAACTTAGGCTTGCGCAAACCTATCCACTGGATTTTCCTCCTGACTGACGTTTCTATGCCCATCATTGACACTCATTTGCCAAACCACTACGATTTACTCGTAGATGCTTGTCGTTGACGAGTGATGGATAACAACACAAAGTTATCTATCGGAGGCACCACCTACATTGGTCCGAGTCTAGCCATCGTTAGAACTAAACAATCAGGCGACGCGTCCCATCAGGCAGTGTTAGAGAAATATCCAGAGTTACAGTGGCCGAAGCACACTCTTCTGTTCATAACCAGCAATGTTGTGCATCACGTCACGACCACAGGTGCGCCTGTGACGGCCAAAGCGCGCCGTCTTGTCCCCGATAAGCTGGGAACGGCGAAGAGTGAATTCGACCACATCCTCGAACTGGGCGTTGTGAAACGTTTAGGTAGTCTTTAGGCGTCACCATTTCGTATGGTTCCCGAGATGGATGGCGGGGACTGGTGGGGAAACGGTGATTACCAACTGATGATAGCCGAAAGCACATCCGATACCTCACGTTTACGACTTGATTCCAAATTCCATCTGGTCAAAGCGCACGGTCGTATACCCATGGCAGCAAAGGGTATCGCGAAAACAGACATTATTACTCCCCTAGGGTTGGTTGAATTCCTAAACATTCCAATTGGTCTCCAAAATGCAACACAAACGCTCCAACGCTTCATGGATGTTGTCTTCCGCGGCTTAGATTTGGTCTACGTCTACATCGATAACTGCTCCAGTGCCAGTCCAGATGAGGAAACTCACCTTAAACATTTGGACCTCTTATTAAGTGGACCAAAAAACGAGGCATCATAGCCAACTTGCAGAAGTGTGAAACAGGAGTTGAATCACTTAGCCTACTTGGGCATACCAGTGACAACCAAGTTACTCTCCAATCGAGAGATAAAGTAGCGGCTATCATGAAGTATCCAGAGCCGACCACTTTGAAGCAGCTCCGCACTTTCAGTGACCTGGCAAGTCATTGCGGAAGGTTTATCCCCAGCTGTTCTTCTGTCATGAGACCACTCACAGATCTACTTCGAGGGACTGCGAAGTGTGTGGCTATGGACAATGTGGCTGGACTCGCTTCCTGCAAAGTCAAGGAAGCCATTCCAAACGCAACCACGCTTATGCATCACAACCCCAATGCTTCCTTGCATATTGCTGTCGATGCACCTGAACTAGCAATTGAAGCAGTTCTGCAACAGTTAACTGATAACCAATGGCAACCTTTAGCCTGCTTCTCGAGGCGGCTGCAAGATGCAGTACACTTGGTAGGGAACCACAGGAGTATGCACATGTTTGTGTACGTGGACTCTTGTGCTGTTCTGTGTGTACGCGTATGGTATACTTGGTGCTTATCAGTGGGCGTAAATGCATATGACTAGACAATGTCTGGTCAACTGCTGCTATACGTATATTGATGGTAAACATGATACATAAATGTACCCATATGCACAAGTACATGCATGTGTATGCGATGACGTATATATATATATATATATATATATATATATATATATATATATACGTGTATGTATGTGTACATATCCCATCAGCATGCATACAGCATTTAAGTTTCTCCACCTGGCTTAGAATTCGGATATAGTCAGTGCAGTTTTGGCATACGGTTGTCCCATTATCGTGTTCTGTGATCTCGACTGTTGGGAGTGCTGCTTTTTGCTGCCCCCACACCTTTTTCAGCCCATTGTTGTGTCATGTTACACCTGACTTCACCGTAAATTTCTTCTGTCTCTGCGACTACTATAAAACAGTTTGAGTTCACGCAACAACGTCTATGATTTCATTGCACCGTGTTCAGAACCACGTACTGAGGCCATCAATATCCCTGGTCTTCGCTGAGTTAGATAACAAGCTTCATTCACCAGAACTGTGTCATCTCGGTCCGTGAATATACTGGGAGCTCGAGAAACGCTTACGTGGAACTAATTATGATTGATTAGCTAACCTCATGGAGGCGGTGTCGTAAATCCAAAAAATCCACTCTTCAAGTGTGTAGAAGTTCGATGGATGGCTATTGTGGTCTTTCTGATATGGACACAGTAGTAAGTCCCAGGACAGAAATTTTACTACTCTACTGGATCCCCTAGCCCTGTTTGACCACACAGTGCAACGAAGAATGGAAAAAAATGCTTTAGCTGGTAGTTATCTCTTTGTTTCCCCTGCTTGTGCACTTACGGACTGCTGTTCCAATGAGCTACAGAATGAGTTCTGCCGGAACCGTCAAGCTTTCTACTGAAAACCTGACGTTCAGATGGGGCCGTCGCAGGAGACTGCTTCAGTGTACAGGTCAGTGGGGAAAGCCGGGAAGAAAGACAGTAAGGTGCCACTTTCAGAATCACACTTAGATCAATTAGTAATATTGAAAGCCTGCCCCAACTGTCCTGCATCGGCAATCTATTTCTGACCAGAACGGACTGACACGACGTCGACCGATCTCAGCACAACCGTTGAGACATGAATCACGTTTTAATTAGCCGTAGCCCGAGGTGCCTCTCCTCCTAGGCAGCAGGTAAACGTGTGTCAGTCCAAGCTGGGGCGTATCTGCATGTTGAAGGATGTAGAATCTCTTCACCCGGAAGACCAATTCCAGTGAGGATAGGTGATGAGCATACAGAGGCTGGCTCAAATAAAGCCCTGATCACACAGCTATCAGGACAGTCTCACTCCTCCGAGGGGGAAACTGCTTTATTTCCAACCCGTTTCGCATATCATCAGTATCGAAAAATAAGCACTCATTACTGCATTATAATCCAAGTCGGCCCACCTCATAACAGCACACCAGTCAAGAAGAAACCCGGGAAAAAGATAGAGAGATGAAGGGGGGAAGGACAAGAAAATCCTGTGTTAAGTTTTGAAGTTAAAGTGAGCGGAATGCACGGAAATATCTGCGCCACCGACATCACTTCTCAGCCATGTCACCAGGAGCCTCCAACCAGTGGATTCTGCTGTCACGCAGAACCCAGCTGATAACTCTACATTTCCCTACCTAACTCAGGCCAACAGTGAAATACTTCATCCACTGATTCTGTGTTTTATTCTGGACGCTTCTGACCCTTCTCCGATCTAACCTTACTTCAGCTACATTGCACAACGAGGCAAACAAAGACTAAGCTTGCATAATGCGTGTCCCGATAATTTAAATTGGGGAAGATTCACAATCAACCGACTTCTCTGCACTCCCTGAAACTACACTTGA